AGCAAATCTCTACAGATATTAGTGATAAATGTGTTTAGGTCAGAGTGGAAAACTTCAGCGCCGTGGCTAGGAACCATGAGCCGCCTGTGCTGCGTATCCACGCACTCCGTGTTCTGTAGCGTATCTTATGTGTGACAGTGCAGTAAACTGGGGAACACCCGCAGTCTGGCTGGACTTCTGTCTACCCTCTCTTTCATGGGAAGGTGTCTGCTTTAATTAACGTCCTTTCTTAATTGACTTGTTTGATCTTTTCGCAATCTGTTCCTGAATTTAGAGAGAGAACATCTACTGGGTTCCTCCCATCCACAAGCGAATTGCCTTTTTATTTTGCTGGTTTGCTCCATGGTGGTTCTTGGTGGTTTTTGCTTGGGTGTGTCCAAAGTCTGTTGTCTTCAATGCCTGAAGATTATCCATAGTTAGTATTGGAGATATGGCTGTTGCTTACTTTTCAGCAAGTGAGCTACTACTCTTGCCTTAAAGAGAATAGTGGAAATGTCTGCTGTCATCCCGTTCTGTCTAAGGAGGGGTTAAAATCTGGGAATAAAGGCAGTTGTGTGGTTGACTTCAGGCTCTATTTGCATGACATTTGTAAGGGAGCAAAGGAAAGGAAGGTCAAGCAGCTGCTGGCAATTAAAATAATCCCTGCAGAGAGTTCTCCCAAGACCTTGAGTTTCATCCACATTAGGATTAGGATTCTTGCCTTGGTTTTCAAAATCCAGTGGTGTGATTTTTTTTTTTTTAAGGATGTGATGAAATAAGACCACATCAAGGCTGTTTTGTATACACAGCTGAAAGGGGCTCTGACTCAAGCTGTGGGGGTGACAGGAATTGCACCCCAGGCAGTGTGCTCTTCACTAGGTGGTGATGTGTGACACTGGTTCATGATATAGCTATGACTAGGTAATGGCTGGGAACCAGCATGATGATGGTCTGTTTCTGAAGCTAAAACACCAATGCCTTGTGCATCCTTGAGCCTGGGTAGTGGCAGTGGTTTGCTCATTTGCTGTGGGGTTTTGACCTAGTTTTATACCGCTGCTGAAGCAGAGAGATTTAGAAAGGGATGGCTGTCGTGGTGTGTTTCAGTGAGTTGAGATCTGGTGGATGAGAAAATGCACTTTTAAACACAACGGTGTTGACGACCTCATAGTCTGGTGGTGATATGACTTCATACAAACCTTTGAATTTCTCTGTACAGAGTTCACAATACTAATGCAGTATGATTTGTGTCTGTTTTATGTGGTTGAATGGAAGGAAATGCTTTTTCTGTTCAGGTTTTCTTATAGCTGGTACTTGTTCTAAACTCTGCTTTTCCCGGGAGGTAGGAAGTGGTGTTCGTACTCTGGAATGTGAGTGTTAGTGTGCGAAGGAGTTTGGAGAGTTTTTTAGAGAACTGCAAAGGGAGGCAATATATTCCCACTGAAGCTGCTAAACAGCAAAAGCTTCTGTGAGCCCAGAGGCACATGTATTTTCTGTAAAGTCTGTTTTTAATCCTGCAATTAGGAGATGTAAGAGGAGTCCTTCTCCCTCACTAATCGGTGGAATGTCCTCCTTGCCGTCAGCTTCCTCTCCTAAAATGCCTCGACTAGCATGTGGTGCTGGTCTGGGCTGTTCTCCTCCTTCCCTGTGCCCCGAGGATCTCTGAGCATCCGTGTTCCTCAAACTCACCATATGGGAATGATGCAATGCAGCTTTTCTTGCTCCTCTACTTCTCTTAGTGGTAATTTGAAACTTAACTTTTTTTCATGACTCACTACCCAAGCATATTGTTCTGAAACTGCTCTTGATTGGAAGGTTTCTTGGGTGGATGTAGCAGATAAGACGGCCACAGGCTGTGTCCTTAGAAAGCCAGAACTGGTGTGGGTTGCGTTGCACAGATTTTTCCTTCCCCTTACTCAAACTCAGCCCTTCAGTTTATCAGACACAAGATAAAAAGGGTTATTTTTCTTCTTTTGCTTCACTTAAAATTGGGAGAAGCAGGTCAGCATTGCCACTGAACCCACCTCTCCTACACTTGCAATGGTAAGAGGGAAGAAGGATCACAGCTTTTAGCTAGCAGGTGGTCATCTTGTTCCACATATAAAGGATTATTGGCTAGATCTTACACTTTTGCGTATTTAAGTACTGAACTGTGAATGTATACAGTACTAAAGCTTAGTGAAGGTCCTGTTAACTTCCATTACCCTTCTCAGAAGAATAAGGCTTGATTTCTCAGAGTTGAGGTTTGCTGCAGAGTGCAGGGAAGGCTGGTATTTCAGTGTGCAGCATTTTAAGTTGTGTATTTCAAGAAAAGCTTGTTTAAGCTTCCCAAGTCAGTAAGAACCAGTCTGTTATCTTCTTGGGCTCATCTTTCCAGAAAAACTGAGCTTTAATCTTTGGTGGATCTGAAGCAAAGGTTACTAGGTTGGAGGATGCAAAAATAACTGAAGCAGCCAACAAGGGTTTTGGGAGAGTGCTCTCTGGCCCTTGCAGATTCTTCTGTTTGCAGGTGTGTTAGTAAGTCCTGTCCTCTAGAGGAGAATTACAGTGCTAGCCTATATATTTTTGTAAAGAAACTATCCTTGACTAAAAGACTGAGATGGCAACTTCAGTGGAGGGCATTCTGACTCTCAGCTCTTGAAATCAGCAACCTCCATCTGTCACTGAATGATTAGGATGGGTGCAGAAAATTAAGGAAAAACCACCTTGTAAGTTGTGATAGTGTTGGTCTTAGAGGCTGCTTTAAAATAGTGTAATTTGGATGTCAGCTTAGTTTTCAGTTGTGAGAATCAGTTCTGCAGTCTGAGGATAACGAGCACGCATTTGCTAGCCTTTTAAAAAAAGTTGATATCCTAATTTTCAAATTTATGATTACTTTGGGAGGTATGGTTTTAGATGGTGGCAGTCTGACCAAACTGCAATTAATTACTGTGATCCTTCAGGTACCGTTTTGTTTTTTATTTTGTAAGTGGAGAGGTGATTTCTGCTACTTCCCGCTATGCAAAATAAAAGTGCTTTAGTTAATAGTGGCTGTAATTAAGGACTTGGAAACATTTCCCATGCTCTCTTTTTCCCATAAACTTGCGTTTGGGCTCTCCGAAGCAGCAATAGTGCAAGCATTGGCATAACACATGCAGCCGCAAATGCTTGCACTGAAAAACTCTTTTGGATGTAGGCTGCTTGCTTCCAAAACTGATGAAATGCTAGTTCTCTTATGTCAAATAGCTGAGGTCTAATGTGTTAGTGTCAATGATGTGTTTAAGCTTTGAGTGGTTTTGAGTGTCTGTGGCTTTTGGAGCATATCTGCATCTAAATATCAGTGGAAGCAGAGACTTTGTGAGTCAGGGTTGATTTTTCTGTGGGTATGACAGGCGGGTGATTTTGTCCTGTGTTTGTGCTGTTTTGCTATGGAGATGAGATACGGATTTGTACGATTAGCTTTTTCCTAGGAGTTCTTCATTGAGAGAGCTACTCAGGCTGGAAGGAGGACAGGGTGGTTTGCAGCCGGAGTGCTTTTCAAAGCGGCTCCCTGTGGAGTGTGGGTGTTTCTGTCGAACACACTAACTGGTCTGGTAGAGGCTGTGCCTTAGGACTTGTCAGCTCAATTGTCATGAGGACATAGCAGTACCTTCATTACTATAAAATAAAGAATACAGCGAATATTTTGAAATGATGTACGAGTATTGGATGTTACCAGTTTCTCATGTTGAAGATGTAAATCTCAGGGCTGCTTTGAACTGGCCCCTTTATGTACAGCTGAAAGAAAAGATGTTCCTTCTCAAATGGGGAATACGAACACTTCGATCTGGGGAAGGGGAGCAAGTCATACCTTTCTCCTTCAGTTGTATGCTTGAAACTTATTTTTCTTTAAAACTCTACTACCACATCTTTGTTTTCCCACAGATGCTTTTTTGCCACCTTAGTTCAGGCAATTGGGCCAAAGACAAGCACATTCATTATGTTTTTGCAGCATCTACATAAATGCTGCTGCTCTTGTGTCATTTACATTCCGTAGAGTTAAGACAGCATTGTGTCTAGAGTACATGTTATTTCGATCTTTTTGGTACTTGGATAATATCACTCCTTTTATGCAGCTTTTCAAATTTCCTATTGTTTATGTCAAATTATTTCTTACAATGAAAAAGAGTTGACAGTATGTTAGTTTCTGAAAGTTTATACTCTTCTGTGTGTTAAATGCATCACATCAGTAGTGAACTGACGCTCCTTTTTTCTCCTTTCAGCCAGATAATGAAATCTCTTCAGACTGCAATCATGTAAGTATTGCTTTGTTTTATTCAGTCTCTAGCTATGACATTTGCACCTTATATCCCTTATCAACCTTAGGTATTTTGCATAGTTTGGTAGTCTGCAAAAGGCATTAATCAGGACACATTTGGGTTTCTGTACTGGCCTGTGGAAGAACAACACAAGGCAACTTCTTTAACCCAGTATAGCTACTGTGGTTTTACTGGAGACTTCAGAGTGGAACATATGCCAACAGCATCCTGGCTTGTATCAGGAATAGTGTGGCCAGCAGGAGCAGGGACGTGATTGTCCCCCTGTACTCGGCGCTGGTGAGGCCGCACCTGGAATACTCTGCGCAGTTTTGGGCCCCTCACTACAAGAAAGACATTGAGGTGCTGGAGCGTGTTCAGAGAAGGGCAACGAAGCTGGTGAAGGGTCTGGAGCACAGGCCTTATGAGGAGCGGCTGAGGGAACTGGGGTTGTTTAATCTGGAGAAGAGGAGGCTCGGGGGGACCTTCTTGCTCTCTTCCGGTACCTTCCGGGCGGGTGACGCGAGGG